AAAAAAAAAAAAAAAAAAAAACCCTAAGGTTAAAAAAAAAAAAAAAGTTTTTGTCAATTTCCTTAATATTAAGTCGGGGGCTAGCCTGTCGTTATAAATTATCATTACAATTAATTTAGCATTACAATTTAGTATAAGTAATAACATTAATAAATGTTATCACTACTATAACACTGTTAGTTCTTTAATTTGTTTATTAGTATCACCATTATTATTACCACTATTATAATTAATAAGGAATAGTTAGTGTTAGTATTATTATTATTAGTATATTGATACTGTTATCACTATAATTACCACTAGTATACTATCTACATTAATAGTATTATTATTATAACAAACAATAGTATCATAATTACAATAATTAATTAATTAAGACACGACCCCCCCCCCCCCGACTATTATAAAAAAAAAAAAAAAATGTTTGGCTACCGCACACCGGAGAAGAGGGCGAGTACTTCACGAGAAGACCCCTCACCAACGAAAACATCCAAAGCAAAGAGAAGCATAGATAACTGGGAGCCAGTAAACACAGAAAGCAAAGAAAAGCCGACCCGCTCTCCAGCAAGAACAAGAACAAAAGAAACTGAAATAGAGGTGCCGAGTAAAAAGACCACACACACAAAAGAAACAAAATCTACCGGGATAACACTTAAAGTACCCATAGGAACAGGAGGAAGCCCACGCAAATACAAAGACAGAATGACAGAAGGAAGAGCGTGCCTGTCAAAAATAAAAATAAATTTAGGATTATAGAGGAACATCAAAACAGAAATAAAACAAGAAGTAACCAATGCAGTAAACAGACTTTACCAACTGTTGGAAGAAGCGGAAGGCAAAAAGGATAAGAGACAGCAAGAGGAGGAAAGAATCGATGAGGCACCAATATCAGAAAGAGAAAGAACCAGCGAAATAAATCTAGCTGAGAAAATGGAAGAGCACGCAAAGCTAATAGAAAACAGCAATAAAAGAATAAAAGAACTAACAGACACCATCGAAAGACAACAAGAACACCAAAAAAAAAAAAGACATACGCCAGCATTGTGATGCAGGGAAGCAAAATCCCAGCAGAGCAAAGAGCGCTACACTCAGTAGTAATCACGGCCAAAGACGAAACAGAAACAGGAGAAGAAGTATTAAATAGAATAAGGAAAGCAGTAAACGCAAAAAGTGGAGAAATAGCAGTCGAAAGGATCAGAAAAAGCGAAAGATAGGAAAATCATAGTAGGATGCAGGACGGAAGAAGAAAGAGAAATATTAAAAGAAAAACTAAAAAAAGGCAGACAATAATTTAGACATCCAAGAGGTTAAAAACAAGGACCCGCTAGTGATACTTAAAGACGTCTTCTCGTACAACAGCGATGAGGAAATTAAACTGGCTATAAAAAATCAAAATAGGAACCTATTCAAAGATCTTGAAGAGCAGAAAATGGAAATACTGTACAGGAAGAGAGCCAGGAACCCACTGGCCAGCCATATCGTACTGAGAGTGTCCCCCCAGATATGGAATAGAATGATAGAGGCAGGTAGAATCCAAATCGATCTGCAAAGAGTGCGAGTGGAGGATCAGTCCCCCCTCATACAATGCTCGACCTGCCTGGGATACGGGCACTCAAAGCGCTTCTGCAAAGAAGAAACTGAAAAATGCGGACACTGCGGAGGACCCCATATGGGAAACAAATGCCCCTCAAGGCTAAACGGCACAGCTCCATCTTGCTGCAACTGCACACAAGCCAAAATAGAGAATAACAACCACAATGCATTTAGCCAAGAATGCCCCATAAGGAAGAAGTGGGAGCGCATAGCAAGGGCCAAAGTAAACTACCATTGCTGAGGGCACCCAGGGAGAATCTACAGTAAATAACACCCAAAAATACAAAGCAATACAAATAAATTTACAACGTAGTCAGACCGCAACAGCGGAACTTATATTAGAGGCCGCATCGAGAAAGCTCACGTTAGCCATGATCCAAGAACCATACATAGGAAATATAGGAGAAGTCAAACAATATCCCGGAACTAGAATAATTCAACACGCAAGAACACCAAACTCAGATAAAATCATAAAATCCGCAATAGTATTATTTGACAACACCATTAACATAACGCAGTATCCAAACCTAACTACAGAAAACATAGCAATAGTAAAACTAAGAACTAGCTCATGGGAGATAGGAGTGATCTCGATGTACCTGGAGGGAGACAAACCAATAGAACCATATTTAGAATCAGTAAAACGAGCAATAGACAACTTAGACACCCAAAACATAATATTAGGAGGAGACGTCAATGCCTGGAACACGTGGTGGGGAAGTCGATTCACAAACAAGAGAGGAGAGGAAATTGCAGCATTATTAGATCAATTAGAACTACACCTTTTAAACACAGGATCTGACCCCACCTTCGACGCAGTCAGAGGCGACAAAAGATTCTCTAGCTGTGTTGATATAACCACCTGCTCATCAACACTACTAAATAAAATAGAAAACTGGCGCACCGATAGCAACATAATAAACTCAGACCACAAAGCTTTTCAGGTGTCTCCTGGTCGGACTGGGTTAGGTTAGGTTTTTTTTTTTTTTATGAGAGCGGTTTTGTGCCGCCCTCGCATTCTCCCCTGACATGGGTGGTCAGAGCCCTTATACATCGTTTTTTAGTTATTTACAACATTTTTTACTAGAATGCCCGAGGCACGATCGCGACAGATGCGACCTGGAAGTAAGCACAGGAATAAAATTAAATGAAACATCTATTTCGGATTTAATGTCAAAAAAGAACTTCAGGCCGCACCTGGAGCGATTCTGCCTCGCGGTACTTAAAATAGCTAAAATTAGAAATGGAACTAGAGTAATTAACTAAAAACTAAACTAAACTAAAACTAAATTAATTACACTAAACTAACTTAACTAAATAAATAACTTAAATCAAAATTAAATTTAACTAACCCAAATAATTATGTACAACCCAGATATGCCGTCGGCCAGACAGGCCTATGTATAAAATTTAAAAAGTAAAGTAACAAACGGTCAAGCCGAAATTAAATTTTAATATATTAAAAATTAGAAATTAGTAAATTGCACATTAATCAAATCCTTGCCATGCAAGGAAGAAACGGGACGGCAAAAAAAAAAAGAACCCAGTCATAAACAGGAACAAGGACTGAAACTACCGAATGATTGGAAGAAAGAAGAATGAACGGAGAAGAAAGAAAAAAAAAACTATACAGAAAGAGAGCCAAGAACCCACTTGCCAGCCATATTGTATTGAGAGTATCCCCCCAGATATGGAACAGGATGTTAGAGGCAGGAAGAATTCAAATCGACCTACAAAGCCAAGACCAAAACTCCTCTTTCACCGCCATCCCGCCTGTGCCGGAGATAAGGTCACAGTTGCCCTTATCCTTGTCCCCGGCAGGCGTTCGTCCTTTCAGGACACGTCTCTTGTGACCGGGTCCCCCAACCCGGTGCCGACCGATGCGTCTCTGTCAGGACATATTTTAAGACGCCTGTGCAAAGGCACGGCGTCGGCGCATCGGTCGGCGGCGGCGCACGGGATCCTCCTCCGGATCGTCCTCCCGGCAATAGCATCAATGGTGGAGCGGCCGCGCCGGAAACCGTACTAGCAGTCCGCCAGATTTGGCCCTACTCGATCGAGGTGCTCAGAGAGACGGGTCGCAATAAGGCGCTCAAAAAGCTTACCCGCCTCCCCGAGCAACCGCGTTCCCGCCAACTCTTCGGCGACTAAAACTTACATCGCGCAACGAAATCCATCGGTCCCGGATGCGGTGCGCCCCCTATGGTCAACTAGGGAAACCGAAAGGTTACGTAGTCGTCAGATAGACCTAGAAACTTACAATTCACCAAATATAAACAATTCCTTGCACTCAAACACGACCTTTAAATATAGTACCCATTTTATCTTCACCTTTTCCATTAATTATCTACTCTGTTAATCCACCATAAAGCCTCCATTACCTAAAGTCGGCTATAATATTGCTCGCAAGTAACGTCCTAAAACAAGGCACCCTAGCGACAGAAACCAAAACAACTCTGCGCGGAAAAATGTCACCGCTGACGCTACTCTCCGACAGATGGTTCTGTGAGGGGTCACGCTGAGTCAATATGACAAAACGAGTATTCGCTTCCAAAATTTTTCGGTATAGTCGAACTTTACTATAATTGTTTTATAATATCTATTGCTTTCATCCATATAGACAATAAACAAGTTCAACAACATTTAATATCTTCTCATCCCGTTTAGTAAAGTTAGTAAATCGCGCGAATGCTCTGCAACCCAGAAGACAGATGGCGTTAGATGTTATGATTTATATTATTTTATGGACCTGTGTTAATTATAATTTTATTTCGTTTTTATCTTTACTTTTATTTTTATCTTATTTCTCTTTTGTAATGAAACTTAACTTAATTCAATTTAACATTATGTCACCTTGTGTTGTTTTCTACTACACTAATGCTGTTTAGAATATAGTTAAACTCCAAATTATATTGTAAGTAACTATATACAAGTAATTATTTTATATAGAATAAGTATAAGTATTTATATGGCATAGTATTAAGTTAGATATGAGGAGCACTGTGCCCAGGCAGCAGTCAGACAATAGTATCAAATCGCTTAGGAAGACTGCTGCCTGGACCTTGAGAACAAATTGTAATTAACTTAACGAGTAAGGACATGTAAAAAATTGTGGAACATGATAATATACTCCCACCCGGGACGGTGTACTTTCGGGTGGAAAATCAAAAAAAAAAACCTACCTACCTGTGAGGTTGTGGGAATTGAGTCGTGTCTCGGGTGCCACCATTGCGCGTCCGGCGACCTGGACAAAGCTGGGACGCTCAACGCGCCACGCTCACTGGCGCTATCGGACGGGATTTGTCGCTGCCGGCCGTCATACTTTCGATGGTCGGCAGCGAACAAAGCTGAGCCGCCGTCGCCTCCTTTGTACGTGAGGTGATGGCGGCCAAAAGAGAGGCCCTGCGGAAGCGCGAACTCGCCAACGAGATGCTGTCGCCCCGCAGGGCTCCAGTGAGGGGCCGCCGGCGTGCGAGGTACGCCGCGGCCCTACATGCTAATTAGTTGTGAGAGAGCCACGCGCGACCAACGCTGATCGAAACGAACGAAAACTACAAATCGCAACGACAACAATAACCACCAAAGAAACGCAATGATAACACCGAACCAAAAAAAAAAACCAAACATTACCGACTTCCGGGAAGCATATCTGTAGCGAGACACAGTATCTTAACATCGTGATTAAATTAAACGATATCTCGCTACAGCGGCATCTGTTAGGGCGCAGCAGAAACGGCGCCAACAATTGGTTAAAAAAAAAAACGTATTTAAAAATTTTATTTTCGGGCTTTGAATAGAAGTAGAAAGTGATATATTTTAATATATCTTATTAAAAGTTGCCCACCTTTACCTACCTTTCTAGGTGAGTGGTGCGATAATAAAAACGCAGGCGCGGGTTGGACAGAGTGTGGTGGAGCTTATCACTCGCGAATGGTCATGTCATGTAATGTCAAGGTTATCGGTGACTTCCCCCCCCCCCTCCCTCTTGCTGATGTTGCGAGCCGCCGAAAATGTTTTTTTTTTTAAAAAAAAAGACCATTTTTTTAACACTTCACTTAAATTTTTCGGTCAACAGTACTTTACCGTTTGAATGGGTTTTATATAACATGTATAGTATACTGTTTTGTTGTATCATTCCAGTTTAATGCGTGAGAGAGATGATTTAGTTGGACATTTGCCGCTTGTAGATCAATTCATTCTTTAACAAAAAAAAAAAATACTATTCCAGACTGTGTTCTATATGTATGCCAAATTTAATCAAGATCCATTCAGCCATTGTGGAGATACGTTCAAACAAACATCTATCTATCTAAACATTCGTATTAGTATTTTCCAATGATGGCAGATGTTACACAATGTATGACAGTAGCTGTGATTCGTGTAACAGTTCCTCCGCCTACAGATGACGATGGCTTGGGGGGAGGATGTGGGAAATAAAACACGAAGGAAAAGAATCAAGACGTAGTGGTTGAAGTTATTGGTTTAGGATTTAGTTTATGCACTTAAATAAACTCGTTACATACATTGTTTTTGCTTGCTTTAATTAAAATGCAAAATGTAAAAAATAAAAAATCTTATAATAAAGACATTTGAAAACACTTAAATATTTACATATCAAATGGAATAAAATTAGTCATACAAATTTGATCCCGGTCAAACATGCGTACGTGTCATGAGTGCGCACGCAGCTTTGGTTCGGTGACACAGTGACATGTTGCGGATGTCTGACGATCAAGTGCATGCAACCTTTATAGTAACATCAACAACAAGAGTAGTGCTGTTGGTAGCAGGAGCTGCTCGACGCGCTCTCTGCAATAACACGAAATATAAGAAAAGAAATTACTAGACAACACTATAACTAGTTATTGCTCCATATTCGATTACACTTAGTTGCCTTCTATTAATTTACAAATATTTTATAGTTATGAAAGGTATGGCAGAGGACAAGACGCGGCCGCGCGCATACATCGTGACATCGTATCGGAGAGGTGAATGCTCGGTGGGTGACGTCACTCCTGCTGCATATATTACACTCTCCTTGCCATTGCTTGTGGTTCATCACGTGAGCGCAACACATACAAGAGCCCTTGACTAGAAATACTGGTACTTATAATATAATTCGTTTGGAAAATGGAAGAGTTAATTTACTTCGACCTTATTATCATCTCACGACCACACTAAGATCACAGCGAAACCGACTTTAAAACACAATATTTTCAGACCAAAAACGTAAAACATTTATCCGCAAGTATTTTTAATTGTCATGTACAATTATCGTTGCTCTGAAGTTTGTGTCGACCGGAGAGCGGCCGGCCCGACCACAACTAGAGCGAGGGCGCGGTGAAGGCTGCGTTGATGAGCTTCCCTTCCTGAGTCAGCTTGCCCTCCAGAGCGATGCCGATCAGCTTGTCCACTGCGGGGGGCGCGGGGGGCGCGTGGGAGGTGGGCGCGAGGGGCGCGGGGGAGGTGGGCGCGGGGCGCGCGGTGCGGCGCAGCGCCTGCAGCAGCGAGCGGCGCGGGCGCAGCGCAGACGCCAGCTTGGGCAGGAAGCGGACGTCGTCGCGGTGCAGGTAGGTGGTGGTGGCGAGGTAGGTGCGCAGCTCGTCGCCCAGCCGCGGGTCCTGCAGGACATCGCCCACGAGCACCGCCATGACGCGCGCCTTGCCGTCCGTCATCGCGCGCCGGTGCGCCTCGCGGAACTCGATCAGCCCCCAGTAGGAGGAGAGGAAGGCGCGCGAGAGCACGATCACGGTGCGCCGCGAGCTCTCCACGGAGGTGGCGATCTGTTCGGGGATCCAGTCGCCGAGCGTCCAGTCGCGGTAGTGCACGCAGAGCCGCAGCGAGTGCGGAGGCGCCTCAAGCGCGGCCACCATCTCCTCCGCCAGCGCCGTGTCCTCGTGCGCGAACGACACGAACGCGTGGTACTTCTTGCCGAGGTCGTCCTCGTCCTCCGGCGAGCAGCAGCCGCAGCCGAGCACCCAGTAGGGCACGCCGTGGCCCAGCCGGTGCAGCAGGTAGCAGAACCAGACGACCGCGAACGCGACGATGAGCAGGGTCACGGCGAGCACGATGGCGTTGCGCTCGAGGCACAGCTTGTCGGTGTGCACGTCTATCAGCGCCGACCCGTCCGCGCACCGCAGCGCCCCGTAGTTCTGCAGGCGGCTGTCGCCGGCGCGCTGCAGCGCCAGCACGTCCGCGACGTGCTCGCAGTCGCAGGCCAGCGGGTTGCCCGCCAGCCGCAGCTTGTTGTGGGCGAGCAGCTCGGCCGGCACGCGGCTCAGCCGGTTGCCGGTCAGGTCGACCTCGACTCCGGGCGCGATGGCCGGCAGCTGGGTCAAATTGAGGCGGGCGAGGTCCAGCGCGCGCACGCCGGGGAGGGAGCTCAGGTCGGAGGGGGCGTCTCGCAGACGAAGCTCGATGTGGTCGACGCCGTGCGTGGTCGGGTCGGGCAGGCGGGCGGGCAGCGGGCCGCAGTCGAGGCGCAGGGCCCGCGGGAGCAGCAGGCAGGTGCAGCCGCGCGGGCAGGGCGGCGCCGGCAGCGGGCAGGCCAGCCGGTCGTCCGGCACGTCCAGCAGGGGGCGGCCGGCGAGCTCGGAGGGCGCGGCGCAGAGCGCGGCGGGGGCGACCAGCTGCACGCCGCCGCCTTGCGCCGGTGTGGCGAGCGCCTGCCGCAGCGCCGGTGTGTGACAGTCGCACTGGAAGGGGTTGTCGTCCAGCAGGAACACCGCGCTGCCATCAGTCGGCCCCAGCAGCAGAACCGTCGAAATGTTGTTGTGCCGGAGATCGACCGTCACTCCCGAACTCAGAAAATTCAAATTTGTGTACTGCAAAAGAAAGACAAGTTTGGAAAATTCCAGCAAATATAAATAATAGCCAAAAGAACATAACTGAAGGTCAATTCAATCATAATTGAAGGTCAACTCCAACATTTAGAGGTTTACCCGATGTGACTTTTCGAAGAGGCAGACGAGTCGTCACATGTCTTGGAGAAGGAGAAGGAAAAAAAAACTTCGATCGATCATTTTTGAAATTAAAAATTTTTCACAGATCGATTTATATTTGCCAAATAAAGCAGCGATAGACTCACGTCGAGGAGTGCGATGGTGTTCCAGGAGAGGTCGAGGCGCTGCAGGGAGACGAGCACGAGGCGCCAGTCGTCCAGCAGGGCGGCCACGCGGTTGTGGCTGAGGTCGAGGCGGCGCAGCGAGGGCAGCGCGCTGAAGGCGGAGGGCGGCGTGCCCAGCGGGTTGTACTCGCCGGACTCGCCGTCCCGCTCGCTCGCGCCCAGCGCCAGCAGGTTGTGCGAGAGGGACAGCCGCTGCAGCTGCCGCACGCCGACGAACGCGTCGACCGCTATCTCCGCCAGCCGGTTGCGGTTCAGCGACAACGTGTCCATGTTGCGCAGCCCGAGGAAGCAGGAGCTGCAGAGGAGGCGAGCGTGTACCGCGGCCGGCGGGTCGATGCGTGCTCCACGTGCGGGAGTGCGCCAGTCGCGCCCGCCCGGACGATAACATTTTCTGAATTACGGACGCACAGTATAATATTATAGTAAGTACAGGTTCGGGGCTTCTTACCTCGGCAGGGTCGTTAACATATTGTCATCGAGATTGAGTTCATTGAGGTTTTGGAGATCGGAGAATAGTCCTCGGGGCAGGTCGGCGAGCAGGTTGCCGGACAGGTCGAGCGTCTCGAGGCGCGCGAGGCCGGCCAGCAGTGCGGGCGGCAGGCGGCGCAGCTTGCAGCCCGCCAGGCGCAGCACGCGCAGCTCGCGCGCTCCCGCCATCGCGTCGCCCGGCACCTCGTGGAGCGCGCTGCGGCTCAAGTCCAGCTCGCGCAGGGCGGGCAGCTCCGCGAAGGCGCGCGGCTCTAGCGTCAGCCCTCCAGCGTTGTCCATCAGCCGCACCTACGGATACCACAGCATTCTTTATCGAATCGCCAAAGCGACTGACGACGTCTGAAAATATTACCGCACCTGTGTGGGAATAGGCCGGATCATTTTTGACTCCTCGCAGCGAGAGTAACGAGTGCATAGTAAGGTAAGGGTATGGTGTAGAGAGGAAGTACCTGCACGAGGTGTCGGAGTCCGGCGAGCAGTGCGGCGGGCAGGGTGCGCAGACGGTTGGCGTAGAGGTCGAGGCGCTCAAGGCGCGGCGTGCGCTTCAGCAGCGCGCCCGGCAGCGACGTCAGCCGGTTCTGGCTCAAGCTCAGCTCGCGCAGCTCCTCCAGGCCTGCAGTGAACGCCAACCAGACAACTCACCAAATTTTAATTTTTTAATTAGTTTTTACAAAGAAGACACGCAGCCTACATGTAGTAACATGATGTCGATCGTCACCGAATCGACATATTGCCATCGAGTGTACCTTCGAAGGTATCTTCGGGCAAGTCGGCGAGGGCGTTAGCCCAGAGGCCCAGGCGGCGCAGGGTCGGCAGCGCGCGGAAGGCTTGCGGCGGCAGCGCGGCCAGCGAATCCGCCGCCAGCTCCAGCGCCAGCAGCGGCAGCGCGGGCAGAGGCTCGTGCAGCTGCAGCTGCGCCTCGTTCAACATCAACTGGCGCAGCCGCGGCACCGCGCCCAGCGCTCTCAGCGGCAGCTCCGTCGGCGCACCCTCTGATACACCACACGCGCGACGCGACATCTTAGTGACACAGTCAGGAAAGACAGAGTCGACCCGACCGCGAATATTCACATGATTTTTTTGTGTTGGCATATTAGGAGTTAGTATTTTTAATTTAATAAAGACAAGTATTACAAAGGTACCTAGATCGGTAATGCGCAGCATTTCTAGGTTTTCGAGGCCCCGGAGGTGCACCGGGTCGAGCGGGGTCCGCGGCGCCTGCACGATGAGCTTGGTGGTGTTGCGCCCGCCGCGGCGGGACAGCGCGCACGTGACCGGCTCCGCGGGTAGCGCACAGCCGCGCAGAGTGACGCTGCCCAGCGCCGGCTGCAGCGCGCCCCGCCCCAGCCTGCCCGCGCTCGCCGCTAGAGGCAGCTCCGCGCACCGGAACACTCCGCTCTGCATATCGCACATACAATTGCATGCAGATCCCAATGAACTTGGGCTTGCGAGAGAGCGGGAGATCGCGGTCACGCTACGTACCTGGCACTTGAAGGTGATGCCGTCGCCGTACTCGTCGAAGGCGAGCACGCCGCTGGGCAGCGAGCAGTTATAGCTGGTGCCCTCGGCCAGCGCAGCGCACTCGCAGCCGCGGGGACATCGCCACTCTCCGTCGCCCCTCTGCCCCGCCAGAGAGACACTTGTACTCCCAATGTTGTCATCCGCGGCGATGGTGGATATTTCCACAACGGTGTCATTCTCAGGTAGGAGTGTGGTCATGGTCACTTCATACGTCATATCTTCTAGAAGCGTGGTGACATCTAATGGAGGTGCGGAGGGTGCGGGGGACGCCGCGGCCGCCACCGCCAGCAACACAACGAGTGCCGTGGCCATCGCCCTCGCGCTCGCTATCTCCGTGTCTCCATTGTTCCTGCAAAACAATCATTTTAAGTATGTTGTGGAGGAGATAACATTAACCACTGAAGATGCGCTGCTAACGAGATTTATTTAAATGTTGTATAATAATAGTTATTTCAATAATTTATATAGAAAATATCGCTTCATATAAATTGCCTTAAAAGAGATTCGATGTTTATTTCTGCTTACGTCCGAGTTAGTGGTGGTTTTATAACTTAAGCTCGTTATGTGATATGTTAGTCATGTGCGACAGCTGCACTCGGCCGCACCGAGGTACGCGACAGGTTCAGCTCGACTGACGGTAATAACAGACAGCGGCGAGCGGCGGCGGGCGGTGGCCCCCTGCGCCCGCGCCGCGCCGCCGCGCCCACAGCCAAGTCGCGCTCTTGGGAATACCACGCAACGCCTCATCTTCACGACCACTGTTTCGTACACTGTTCTTCTCTAGGCAATGGCAATAATTTATCGCCCTATTGTAAACACATGACGCAGATATTTATTTAACGCGCTGTTTGACATGAAACTGATACAGTTTCATTGCGCCAAACCGATGATACAGATTCAGTTCGCGATTGCGAAGAGGAAATAGAATCTGAATTCTGCTTCACTTCTATGCGTAAATGTGCGAGAGGCAAATCTCGTGAGAGAAACTCGAGTAACCTACGAGATTTGTATTGGTAATGTGCTGTTCGAGTGCATCATGCATGCGTGTAAACATGTAGGTACATACATACCTACAGGCGAGAATCCCAAGTAGTTATATTGGAATTGTATACGCTTGTTGGTCGCTTATATATTTTTCACAACATGTGATGTATGAAACACATATTGTATTAATAAGACCTTAAATTAATGTATTATTAATAGCAAGATGTGCGTAAGTTCCAGCGGCGGGCGGCGGGCGGCGCGTCGTGGCGCGGTGTGGCGCGGCGGTAAGAGATGACGCGCGCAGGCACGCGGGTCAGCCCTGACATTGCTCTGTTGTTTACATACGGCACAAACATGTGGGTACGTTGAGGTACAACTACTAGTAGTAAACCAAAAACTTCATCGGATATATACTGCACACAACACAGTTCAAAAACACTAGTTCAAGTTTGCAGTAGCTACATATTTACGTATATACATAGATATATATAACACAAATTGAAAAATCTAAATTGATATTAAATTACATTGGTGATTTTGCTCAATTCAGCTGCGTAACTAAATATAGCGATAACACTATTGACACGCGGGACTTCCAAATGGTGTTATCAATTCGCCATATTCCAAAAAAATGAACAAAATCTTTGGCCACGACCGAGGCGAAACCGACAAACAACTTGGAAGGAAGTTGCTAACAATTATCTAGAACGGAATGTCTATATGGTGTGTTAGTTGTAAATAAACAGGACAATGCATGGAATAGATTCACGATGTATTAGTTTACCGAGTTACCGGCTAGGACCCGGCGAGGGAGATGTCCAGTCGCACGCGGTCATTTCTTAGTATATAGTTGCAACGATGCTTACATCAAACAATTTGTTGTATATTGTTTTCTTAGCTTGAATTCAAGGGTAAAGGGTAATCGTGTTCATAAGTAAGAGCAAATAGCGAAGAGGACGAGGCCCGGCTCGACCACAGAGCAGCACTCAGCACTGTATCACCGCACCACCGCACATGACACGCGACGCAACATGATGACATCACGTACACAATATGTCAACACGTGCGATATTCTGCTATCTGTTAGTACTTCTAATATGTGAACTGACGCCATTCCCCTTGAACCACATAATAAATCTTTAAATGGAGTTTACAATAACAAACAAGTTAAATTGATTTCCTACTTTGTGTTGCGAAGTGTACCAAAAAAGGATGGAATGTAGCACATAAGAAAGAACGCTGATATTGAGATGATTGAGGACATTTGAGTGATGTACTTGCACGGCGTTAATGGTAGTAATATTTTATTAAATTACCCAAAGTCAAGGCGCGAAATTGTTTGTGCAATGAAGATATAGACGACCGGCGCGCGGGACGCGTGCCGCGGTGCTGACGTCACATATTCGGCATCTCCTTGATTGTGTACTAACATTGAGATGATGCTCCGAGCTCAGAACAGATACCAATAAAGTGATTTTCAAATTAGTTTAATCAAGACTTCACGTATTTAATATCTGTGAGGGAATCGCACGAAACGCAAATTAAAATAATAATATGTCTGCCAATAATACAAAACAAAGTTTTAATTTTTTCGAAATGAGCACTTAAAATCACGCCATAGACGTTATAAAAAGTAGTAATTTTTACACGTAGTACGCTCGTTTACGACAGGGACGCAGAATTTGCAGATGTGTGACAAGATAAACAAAGTGTGCAACGCAACGAATACATTATATTGATGAAAACATTTCACTCAGAGATGTACTCGTATGAAGCCGAAGTAATGGAAATATTTCGCAACATTAAGAGGCCTCTTTTTATGTGATAAATTTATTCATAAAAAGTTACACTTTTATTTAAACCATGCCTGGCAAAATTGCTTACGCAGTTTGATTGCGAGTAACCCACTTTATATAAACATAGCTTATAAATTATTAAATTAATTTAGTGTGTGCTTTTGATACAAATTGATGTGACGTGATTGTGTGATGGTGCACCGCGCCGTGACGAATTCTCTGCCTACAGTTGCTGCTGCTTGCTGAGCAATATGACACTCATTTTATACGACAGTGATCATTTGTTTCCAATCAATAACGGAGATTCGATACTGCGCCATGTCGACCTTTTTTGTGCATATTATACGTTATCACTTACAAAAAACCTGTTCGCGCGGGAAATACTGGGCCTTTACGTTCTACATTTATCGACTGTAACAAAATCAAAACAATGAACTGATTGAGGTTGTAGTGGATACAACTAACGTCATCTATTTTCTGTTTCTTTATTTAAATATCATATAAGGCGAAAATTTGGATGTATGGATGGGCTGATGTTTGTTAGAAGGTATATCCAGAACGGTTTAACTAATCTCGATGTTTTTTTGATACCGCGCGGTCGAAGTGGCGGGCGATAGCTAGTCATATCATAAGAAATAACCAATTTTGTTATAAATATAGCATACTGAAAGGCAATATTTATTTATATAGGTACATGTTTTTTCCTCTTGGATTCCTAGGAGCATAAATATAGACGTAGATATTATTATAGTTCTGTATAGATGGCGCGCAGTGTGATGACGTCACACCGGTCCAGATTACGTGTAGCTATCACGACCACCGGTCTGTTTTTTTTTTTAAATATATAATAACAACGTCTAAAGTTAACAAACCTAGGCGTCCGGCGCGGATCACTAAAGACCCCGAAACCAAAATATCGGAAATGGTAGAAGACGAAATGAAGCCGACACCAACTATTTGCGTTGTTTTACGAAAAAAAACAATATTTAAAATTTTTGTCTGTCCGTCTGTACGCAACACTACGTTTGTTCCGGCTTATCCACGGAACGGCTGGACCGATTTCGTTCGATGGAAAGGTAGAGCTAATGCACGCGGGCTTATTGTAGGCCTTTTATTTTATATTATTTAAATTTTACGCTGTCGAAGTCCCTGTGGGCTGCTGGTTATTTAATAAAACGCATAGTTATACTGCATTCTTGTGAAAATGAATTAAGACAAGGGTGCAAAGAGGTTATCTGGATATTTTGGTAAATGTTAGTAAAGCGATGATTAAAGTCACGGCGCTATTTCTGTATGCGTCACAGTCACAGCAGCAGAGCAGGATTGCTGCGTTGCGCTGCGCTGCAAATGCATGCAGAATAAGTGTATGGTACAGAGTACAGTCACCTTCGTTTGCGTTGCTCCAGCTACCTTGCATCTCGCAACTAAATAAAGCTCAGCCCTTTTTGGCTTCTAGCAATTAGGATGCTACATATTTCTATTGGAAAACTAAGTTATCATTTATATCTTCATCGTTTGGAAGCGTCCATGACATATGTTTTTCACTCGTGGAACATCGTGAACGACTACACCATCGCTCTCCAACCTACGTCCTTAACTCATGCTACCTTATGGTATGTAAGCGTGTGTGTCATTAATCCTAACTTCGTCTTGAGCCTTGCCCTAAAAAATTATTTGTCGCAATTTTTCGTACTTGCCTTTTACATTTTTTTAAATAATAAATATTACTGAAGTAATATTACTTGTACTAAATCATAAAAATATTTTTATGATTGCAATTGTATGTACGAAAATACAATCACAGAAGACCACAATAAATAATAAAGCGGTTAAATGTCTCGGTTAAATTACATTTAAATGATATTGGAAATACCATTTTTCAAAAGATAACGTTGTTATCTTACTAATATTATAAATGCGAATGATTGGATGGATGGACGGATGTTTGTTAGAAGGTATCATCAGAACGGCTGAACGGATAGCGATGAAATTTGGCATTGATGTAGAACATATAATAGCTTGGAGGAACACGTAGGCTACTAATTAGTTTTTTTTTTAATTACGCGCGTTCGGGGTCGCGGACGACAGCTAGTTTAAATTAAAACGACAAGATAAAGTAGCTGAGATGTTATTAACGTAAACAAAGCGCGCGGGTCGCGGACAAGGGGATAAGGCGCTCGCCGCACTCCGCACTCGGCCTCGATTGCGTTGCGAGATGTAAAACGCGAGATGTTCTCTGTGGCCACAGCCTGCCAAACACGCAGCCCTACGCGGATGCCAGTGGCCACTCACCTGAGTACTCCTCCCAGTTCACTGTGTAATAATAACTCTCTTCTCTGTCGACCCTCTGTCAAACAAACAGCACAAACACACGAAATTGCCACGAAAACGTCTTGACGCAATCACAAATTGAATACACTATTTAGCAAGTAGCAGTAAAGCAAGAGCGACTAGTAATTTAGCATTCGACTGGTTTGTGTTGTAGTTTGCAAGGCGGACGTGCGAGAAGGATAGCAAGGGACCATCTCGCTCGCACAGCAATCTCATATTGCTTACATGCGCAAGCGCTGGTTGTAAAACAAGACACCATCATTTCTTCATTTCATGGACTGAACTGTAATTTTATGCCCCAAAACGAACATTAATTATTCTCACAAGTGTATTCAAACGTCTGTGACCTTTGAAAATATTAAAGAAACAAAAGCAGCTAGTCAGTATAACAACAAAGAATAAATAAAAATTCGTATTAATTTTTCAATAAGACTTTCCGTCCGTTGTGGGAGTTCGTGGTGATCCGAATTTTACTAAGGCGCGCAACGCAACCTCCGATGAATGATAATTGATTTACGAATGCGGACAATCTCTACAAAAACAATATTTCTCTAACAACGAAGGAAATTTTCTTGCAATATTTCGAGATCCTGTTTTATACATTTCGACTCTTTGTCAAATTCAAGAACGATATCCATAGTACTTACTTATTTTTGTTGTTTTATTAAGGATAGCAGAAAAATGGTTTCATGTGTCTTCAAGTCTTGCTTATTTTTGAGCCTTTATATTGATTTGCTATCCTCTATAGAATGCTAATAAAAATCACATCCCTTGAGAATGAAAGAGCGACGTTGACGCAGTTGTTAAGTGCCTGTCCCGATCGGCTCGTAATCTATAAGTTTCAGAATCGATCCCTGTCATATGTCACTGTGATTTTCGATTTTAAAATTTCATAAATATGTAACATTCTTACGGCGAAGGAAAACATCGTGGTGCAACCTGTACATACGAATATATATACGAAGAAATCACGGATATGCGTGAAGTCAACCAACCTGCATTGGTGCAGCGTGATTGACTAAGGTCTAGTCAAGCCACTGCAACGAGGAGTAACAATTAATAAATATTTATGCTATATAACGTGAATAATATGTGAAAAGCTTTTCCTGCAACGGTTTGCTGCGCAATAAACATATGTGATATGACACCCGGGTCGGTGTTATCAGCGGGCACAAAGGACAGCGAGCTGGGCCTGCGATAAGACGCCGGGTCGCAACGGCAGGCGGCATGCGGTCGTATTTTATTAATTAATTGATTATTTATTTATTAAAGTCAGTGTTACAAAGCTTTACTAACATTTTTAATCATTGTCAAAATCGCAGATATCACAGACATCTGGTGTTATTATTTGTTATGGGTCATAAAGGTGGGCCAAAAGTTGCGAATACCACGAGTCCCACACAACCCCCAAAGTCATGGTAAAAAAGGGGCACCGTAAAAATGTCGCCCAGGGTGCCAGAAACGCCAAAACCGATACTGTTTCAATGGTACTCTTTAAAAACTCTTAACAAACATAAAACATGTTATTTTGTGAAAAAAGGTAATTTGAATAATTAAAAATAAATAAATGTTATTCGTTTTTTACATTGGGAATTCCGAGTTGGTCTTGTCTTAATAAATAAATAATTTATTTTAACATTGGCACATCATTGTAGTCGAGATGAAAACGTTGTCTTTTATTGTAATTGCGGTAATATTGTATATGATGTGTTGGTATACTGAAAAATATCTACCCGGAGGCTTGATCTTGGTTCTGGTTCCCATCCCACGCTTTTGTTATAAGGTACGTGTGGAAAGGATATGTGGATTCTGCGGAGCTAGATCTGTCTATTAATGTTTGCCACCTTATGGCGGCATCACATTAGTGGCGTGAATTCACAAACGCATTCCTATCGTGATATCACGGCACATTCAGAGGATATTCACAATCGTTCCTGAACTCACCGCGAACTAGATGTGGAAGCTGCTGCTGCAATAACTTTGTTTGGAGTGGCAACATTTTTAAGCTTTATTTTGTCTTGGGCAATAAGTTACTGTCAATGTCAAAGTCCAAACCGATTCCAAACAAATACAGAATTTCTTTCTTTTTACGTTTTCAATTACCTTCAACCTAGACGTTGGCGAAATCATCGAAAGTAAACGATGGGGTCCACTAGTAATTAAAAGAAGAAGAAATACAAAATTTACTTTACAGCTACAGAATTACTATAAATTACTTATCAAACAGCAAAAAAGCCAAAACTGAAAAACTTATTTTGAAACGTTGGAAACTTTTCATAGAACACAGAACGCTTATAAGTTGTAGTTAAATATTTTGCAAACAATAACTTATAGCATAATTGGCACTATGAATTGAAGCTATTATTATTTAAAAGTAAGGAAAAATGTCTTGCGAGATAATAATAAGGAGAGCCCGTGAAGGGGACGCAGTACAACGTGCCGAACTGATCCAGATGGGACTCCTGTCTTATCAGTGGGATTCATTCATATACTTTCTGTTTCAAGAGGTATTCACGAAGTTGTTTTTCTTAAGATTAACAATTATTTTAAAGCAATGTTTAATTTATTTCAACCAATTATTGTAAGCTCCATGTTGCTCAAGATGATTGATGATTAAAAGGTAGGGCTAGTAGTAATTATTTTCTTGTTTCAACAGGAATGCATCAATGAGGTGCAATTTTTTAATGAAATAATGAGTGGTTTTTGAGTTAGCTCTGTGTGTATCTGAGATTTGGTTTTTATAACTATTTAGCATTTTTTCGATTCTCACAAGGTCCCCCTGCTCCCAGCCTCCACCCTTGCTACCCTCTTGTTGAATGCAGGAAGTTGTAGATTGTAAGGAGTGTGCATATGTTGCAGCTGACTCTAGAATGTGTGTTGCTGGGCAGTGCGGTGCTGTTCATCTTCTGCGGTGCGGCGCCGGCGGGCTGCGCATTGCTACTGCCCGCCGCAGCCGCGCTTGTGGCGGCCGCCGTCGCTGTCGCGCACCGTGCCCTCGCCTCTGCCCACGCACAGGTAACATTCAAACCACATTGATTAATATTACAGCAATTTTTTCAATGAAATACATAGTGCCGAGGTTTGTGCAGCGGATGCGCGGAGAGATGTTTGGCCTGGTGGCGGAGGCGCGCGGGCCGCTGCGACTGGGCGCGCCCCCAGGGCCCGTGCCCATCTACACCGAGCTGCAACATTGCCCTCCGACACAACATGATGTGCACTCTAAGGTTAGAAGATTTATACATTTGATTTATTATATTCTTTCTCTATGTTCCCTGTTATTAAAACTTCTTTAAATATTCCCAAATATTCTCTGATTTGAAAAAATATTTTTTTTTATATTGAATATGCTAACATGCCCACAATCCCACCTGATGAAAGTGATGGTGTTTTTTTTTGTTTGATGTGGTTGAAAGATGATACATGCTAGCTTAGTATATGCCTATTCACCCTACTCTTGAAGGCTCCCACATCATACTTGGACGGAAAAACAGATGCCGGCAACTTGAATGATGTTGAATGCAAGAGGAATGATGAATCAAACCTTTTCATTAGAATGCGTGGTTCCTCTAGTACACAAGGATGGATTCCCGCCGTATGGTTAAACGTCCTATGGTAGAATTATATTATGTAATTCCTGCGCACACTCTACAAATAGTAAAAGGAAAAATAATTTATTAAAGTAGAATTGTTCATAACTTCATAAACAACCCACCCAAAACTTGAACAGGAAAGCGACTCAGTAATTGATAGTGTAAATTAGTGAGCACATATAGTCAAATTTAGGTATTTATTGTGACAATGTGAACAAGCTCTGTGACGCGACCACAAATAATGCCGGCAGCTATTTTACACAACTATTATCATATTATTATTCTATTGCAAAATATTACAAAGCTGCATATGTAGGAAACTTTTTATACTTTGATCATTTTTTTTTGTTACTTAATAGAAAGCACTATTATTGTATATATTTCATAACAGTGAGGGCGGGCGTGGGCCGGTGGTGGTGGGGAGAAATAAATGAACATTTGTGTGGTGCGGTGGCAGGTGGTGGGCACGCTGAGCGTGTCTGCGTACAGGGCACCGGGCGAGCTGGCGCTGGACCACGAGGTCGGGTGGCTGCACGCGCTCGCCGTGCACACGCAGTAAGTACCGCGCACAGCACACAGCACACACTCCGACAGCGGCGGCGGGGCGTGTGCTGAGGGCGGGTGTATGGCGGCAGGTGGCGGCGGCGCGGGGTGGGGCGCGCGCTGGCGGGGGCGGTGCGGCGCGCGGCGGCGGGGCGCGGCCTGCGCGCGCTCGAGGCGCTCACCAGCGACCTGCAGCGGCCGGCGCGCGCGCTGCTGCACGCGCAGGGGTGAGTCATTTACGGGCACAGTTCACAGTTGCAGCCGGTTATTGCGAATATTATGTAGGAAAGAGCAACGATCAAAATAAAATGAATCTTATTTTTTTTCATATGATTGATTTAATAAGACATGTGATGCATGTGTAATGATGGCACAGATGTAATGTGTGGTGTGCAGATGGCAGTGCCGCGGCACCTACGACCGCCGGCTGGTGGGCGCCGCGCTCACGCTGCAGCTGGCGCGCCTCGGTCTCGACCTGCCGCACGCCTAGCCTCGGGCCTGACGCATTCAATTGCTTTCTTTCTACAATTATATAAAAGTCATAATCGCAGTTTAGCGTTTTTAATCGATTTTATGTATTTTTTAACATGGGGTGGATATTGTATTGCCACTTCAATATGTATGGTGCTAAAGTTTTTAATATCGGCGTATTGTTGAGTAGTTTATGTGTAACATGAATTTGAATACATTTATTGATGTATAAAAATGTGCTCAAAGTAATCTCCATAACATAATTGTTCTGTGCTAATCATCTGACAGAGACTGATAAAGTTAATCATTTATAAAAACTGGTTTTGTTTCATTTCGCTTAGCTTTTAAAACATTTTTCACATTCACCAATACTTCCAGAAGAGTTGGGCCACTTGAGGCAACAACAAGTACTGTGACTGTCCCGCAGCCCGCAGAGCCTCAGCTCCGCACCGGAAGTAGTAGTTAGGGTACGAGCCTCACGGGTGATGTCTCTACTTAAGTTCTGCAGTGTTTCCGCTGCTGTTGTTGTTGTTGCGGCAGAGGTGGTCCAACCGGCACACAGCCACCGCCATCTGCACTCGACACATTATAAACTTTTTACTCCTACATCAAAATAGTCTAGCTTTTTATCTCACTGTGAGTAAAGTCTTGAGAGATTATTGATTGGTGTAGTGCAACGGCAATGGTACCTTGATGGCGTCCTTGTGGTCGCGGTTCCGTGGAGCCGCGAGGCGTGGCGCAGGCCTGCCCGCTGCCGCAGCGCGCCCCGCCAACTGCACGTGCGTCAGGCTGCGCCACGAACCCGCATCGGAGCCCTGGCTCTCACACTATTTGACGTCCAAGTTTATAATTTTAATTTTTCAAGAGTATTGAGCAATAAATGTGGCATACCTGAGTGAGTGCATGGTGCACGAGGTGGTCAGCGAGGCGCGCAGGGGCGCCAGGACCGCGCAGCGCGTCACTCAGCCGCAGCAGGAGGTGCGGCGCCTGCAGTGCACCGCACATCACATGCGACACCTCTAACAACTATCATGCAATAATATTTTAAATAAGCAATGGCTTGTCCGAAGGTTAAAATTGTTTTTAACTAGTGTATTGGTTAGTAGTGCTATAGTAATAACTGCCATTACTTTATCTTGCAAAGTTTTAGTAGCACATATGTGTAATTGATCCATTTTATTGTGCATTCAATAAGAACCTGTTGTGTGGTGGCATGTTGCAATTGAGCATGTAGGGCACGTCGCCCCCGCAAGCCTGCCTCGCCCGCCAGGCACAGCGCACACAACCACACAATGCAGCACACCGATGCACCCTGCAGCCACCCACAGGCCCCCGCCAGCCCCGCCTCTATCACACTTAACATCTACAAACATACATGATTATTTCATCAAGATGTATACAAACTAACAGACTATTCATTAAATTAATTTATGGTACTATGTAATGTATTAATACTGTTCATTTTTGTTCTTATTATTTTCCTTAAATTTAAAAATGTTTACCTCTTTGTTGACTAATTTTGTTATATCTGGCGATTCATGTTGTAGTACTTCTAGATAGTCCCTTAAAAATTGTGAATCACCCTCCGGCAAATGTGCCGTGAGTTGAGTTATGAAGTCGCTCATTTTGACTGACACATGCCTAGTTGATGCATCATTAGCTTCTACTAATAATAGTTCGTCCAACTCGCTGGAGTTGCTGGGCGTACTCTGCAGCTCCTCCAAGGTACACTTGCCATTGTCTGCAGCATGCAGCTCTCGGAGCAGTCTCAGTTCCCGCTCGCACTCTTGTTCTCGAGCCCTTTGCGATGCTAGCACATCGGCAGGTGGCATTGAAAAATGACTCTAAAAATTTTTATGGACATAAGAACAAAAATTAACCAAATGGATTCGGTTTTGTTTTTTTAAAGATAAACATTTCATTACGATCCCACCGGGTGTTTTGTGATGGGGTAGAAAAATAGTACGCTCTAGCTATTTCTTTTTAATGTACTTACCAAGTTGTAGTTCCCACTGCCGACTGAGACCAGTGGTAATTCATCATGTTCGTCATCTAACATATTCTTGAGATTTTTGAACCAGCAAATCAATAATGACTTATTTCTAAACCATGTCGCTTTGGCTTTGTCTGAATTTGGTCAACATCATTTTACTTAAACTCTAATTCAAAATAACAACAATAAAATTGACATAAAGTAAAGACCGACAAAAAATTCTAAATCCGGTTGGCATAAGTCAAACTAAATTGTTGTTGATAGCTCACTAGCGCCCTTCTATCAATGTCAAAAAAGTGTCACAAGGTCCTTTATTGGTTCTCATTTTTTTTTTATAGGAGAAGGGGGCAAACGCGCCACGAATCACCTAATATTATTTTATCCGACGCCCATGGACATCTGCAACGCCAAAGAAACCGCAGATGCGTTGCCGGTCTTTAAGGAAGGTGTATGCTCTTTTCTTGAAGGCCCCTAAGTCGTAACTGTTCGGAAATACCGCTGAGGACAGGGTGTTGACAAGTCCATGCAAAATAACTCTGCAATTGAATTAATAAATTAACAAATAAAATAACTTTTTTGAATCTCCTACAGAGTATATAATGTAAATGTCTCCTTCACAAAATTTTCCTAAATCTGGTCACACTGCTAACATTTTGGCAAATCAATAACATTGACAATTGACGTCAATATTGTCGCCAATTTGAATTTCAATTTGTTTTGAGTCCAGGTAGAAGGTGCTGTCTGGTACTCGCTTCAGGCATAGGTGAATATAATTAAATATACGCGTTTTATTAAAAAAAATTAAAGAGGGAAAGGAAGAAGTAATTTTGTGCTATTGAAAATGTGGAAAAATGACTCGAACGCCGGCAAATCAGTGGGCAGCAACAACTTGGATAATAAGAGCCATGATACAGTGTTCAATGAGCTGATGCAGGAGTGCAAAGTCAGCCCCGCAGGTGCGCGCCTCTCCACGAAGGTCCGGAATGAGCTCGAGAAGTAAGTTTTGTGCACTTGGCCTAATATTATATTTATTTATATTTAATAATAATAATAAAACAATGTTTACATATACTTTCACTTATACGAGTAATATTTTAACAATGTAATGATCTATTTGATGCTAATTATCATATTTTTAAATAACAGTAAAATATACACACTTCTTGACATGAACAAAAGCGAAAGTAAATTATTGCGCATTGTGTAAATACGACGCAAAAATATATGATGCTGTTTGATTGCCAATGTATTTATAATTATTGAGGTATTTTCTTTGTTTAACTTTGTATTGCAACACTCTTTACATTTAGGAAATATTTATTGATGATGTGTGTTGATGTAGAGACTTGCATCATTATTGGTTGTTCTTATTGTTTGTTTTTTTTTTAAGTGTGCTGTGCTAATTGATTATTATACAAAAGCATCTTTTTCATTCACAATACCAGCTGTACTCAAAGTATGCTTTGCGGAGCCCAGGGGTTTTCCAGAAGGTCCACAAAAATAGGTACTAATTAAAAATAATATAAAATACTAAAGTGGATAAAGCCTGACATCAAGCAATTGATGAAAAAGTATTTTTCATAATTTTGACAACAATAAATTTTAATCATATTTTACAATATATCCTCAACTAGTTGAGTTATATTGTAAAACACTAGTGTCGGGTCTCTCAACAGTTGATATTGTAAACTGAGGTAAATGTGTAAGTTGTGTTGAGCAGCGTGTCTTGTTCTGCCGGTGTGTCAGTGGTTGTTGTGTGCGCAGGATGCGGCCGGAGGAGCGGACCGAGCTGTGCCGGCGCAAGCGCGATGGCTGCGCGCCGCTGTTCGTGGCGAGCAAGCGCGGCAACGTGGAGATCGTGGAGTACCTGATCCACGTGTGCGCGGCGGATCTGGAGCAGCGCGGCGTGTTCGAGGTGGCCGAGGAGAACGCGGTGCACACGGTGACGCCGCTGTGGTGCGCCGCGGTGGCCGGGCGGGTACCGGTGCTGCGCGCGCTGGTGGAAGCGGGCGCCGATCTGAACGCCTGCAGCGACAGCGGCTCGACGCCCGTGCGCTCCGCCTGCTTCATGACGCGCGTGGAGGCGGTCGAGTTCCTGGTGGAGCGCGGCGCCGACATCCACCGGCCCAACCACAACGGCGGCACGTGCCTCATCAACTCGGTGCAGTCGCCGCGGCTGCTGAAGCTGCTGCTGGGGCGCGGCGCCAAGGTGGACGCGTGCGACATGCAGCGCAAGACGGCGCTGCACTACGCGGTGCAGGAGCAGCGCGTGGAGGCGGCGCGCCTGCTGCTGCAGCACGGTGCCAACCCGCGCCTCGTCTGCTGTTCCGGTGACGACGCGCTGCGCCTCGCCTGCCTCAAGGGCGCGGCGCAGGCGGTGGCGGTGCTGACCGAGGCGACGCACTTCTGCCCCGCGCGCGTCGCCGACGCCTACGAGCTGCTCGGCGCCACGCAGCTCGACGACTTCAACGACCTGACGGCCACGCTCCTCGCCTGGCGCCGCGCCACAGGTCCGATTGCGTCAGAGATAGGGAGCTATGTGAGGTAGAACTGTATAACGCAAGCCGGGTGTGTGCGTATGTCTCGCAGCGATACGGAACGCGTACGGGCCGTACATAGACAAGCGGCCGCAGCGGCCCCCGCAGCCGGCGCTGGGCAACGTGCGCGAGTGGCGCACCGCGGCCGAGCTGGAGACGCTGGCGCTGGACGTGGACGCCGTGCGCACGCAGTCGCTGCTGGTGGCCGAGCGCGTGCTGGGCCCCGCGCACAAGGATACCATCTTCAGGCTCATGTACCGGTAGGTCGCCTCCCTCCTCCCGGAACTCGTCCTTCGATACGTTACCTTATCTGCGCCCGAGCCGATGTAAAGTGTGTCGCATTGCGTGCGCAGCGGCGCGGCGTACGCGGACGCGTTCCGCTACCAGCGCTGCATCGACCTGTGGACCTGGGCGCTGCAGATCCGCCTCCACAAGGACTCGCTGCTCTTCAGCGGTAAGTTGCGCGCCCTCCCCGGCCGCGGGCGCGAGCACGCCGCGCGCACATGAGACGACTGAGGTGCTCGTATCCGCAGACTCGTCCACGGACACGTGCCACACGGCGAGCGCGTTGACGCGGCTGCTGCTGGACGCGCACGGCAGCCGGCTGGAGCGCGCGCGCGGGCTGCCGCGGCACGTGGACGTGGTGCGCGTGTTCGCGCTGCTGGCCGAGCACCTGCCCTCGTGCCGGCGCGCGCTGGACGCGCGACCAGTGCACAAGAAGCAGGCGGAGACGTTCGACCGCGCGCTGCGCTGCGTGACGCACCTGCTGCACCTGCTGGCGGAGACGCGCGGGGCGCAGCGCGCGGCGGTGTGCGCGCGCGTGCGCCGCCTGCTGGCCGCGGACGTGCGCAGCGCCCACACCGGCGACACGCTGCTGCACCTCGCCGTGTCGCGCCTCAACGTCGTCCGCTCCACGTACTTCGCGGACGAGGTGCCGGACCCGGTGAGTCTCGCGCACGTCGTCGCCCTCTCGCGCGTACCGTCCTCGAGGTGAAGGTCTGAGTGCACTCTGTCGCGGTCCTCAGCCGGTGTTCCCGTCTGTGGGCGTGGTGACGCTGCTGCTGGAGTGCGGCGCGGACCCCTGCCAGCGCAACGCGGCGCGCTCCACGCCGCTGCACGTCGCCGCCATACCGTACAACTTCTCCACGGAGGTGAGCGCGTCCGCCCTGCACGTCTCCGCGGCGGGACGAGGTACGGTATAGAGGAGAGTACACGCGCCGTGTTGTCGTTGTGTCGGCAGCTGGTGGAGCGGCTGCTGGAGGGCGGCGCGCACATCGACCAGCCCAACAAGTTCGGGGACTGCGCGGGCGAGCTGATCGCGCTGAACCGCGGCTCGCGCGTCTGCCCGCTGCGCTACACCACGCTGCGCTGCCTGGCCGCGCGCGCCGTGCTCGCCTCGCGCCGCCCCGTGCCGCGCCACGCTCTGCCCCACACGCTGAACCGCTTCCTGCAGCTGCACCGCCCCTAGGCGATCCCTGACCCACCTTTTTTTTGCTGCAAAATCTAAACTTGTTAAGGTATTTTTTACAAATAATCCAATATTAACTAAAAATTGTCAAAACGCCTTTACTACACTGGCTCTACTATATTATTTTACTGAAAATGTAGAATGTAAGCGACCGCGGCGGCGGTGAGGCGCCGCTCCCTCCTCACGCGTTGCACACCGTTATTTATATAAACAAATAATAACATCTTTGTTCTTTTTAAGTTTTAATAATAGAATTGACCGCCGACTGCCGACCGCCGACCGCCGCTCCTCCGCCGCCGACAGACGTAGCCTGCTCCAGTACAGCAGCCGGCGACGTGCTCGTGGTCTGCATCTCCGCACCACTCTGCAGACATGTGCCTACATCACGAAGTTCCTGTCTACGGCCTATTCCAAGTGCTTTTCCCTTTCCCATTAATTCCACGATAGAGTGGGAAAGGGAAAAGTCCGCACTTTGTGGCGAGGAGGATGCGACCACTGGGAGTGGCCAGTGGTCGCTTCATGTTATAGATAAATCCGGAGGGCGAGTGCTCGGTCGTCTTGGACTTTCATTTATTATTTATTGAATTTATGTTTAGGATTTTTTAGTTTTATTTACATTTGTTACGTTTTGTCAGATTTTGATGATTGTTCGACTTCGACTAAGCAGTGTTTGTTATTTCGTAATGTCGCGTCGTCTCTAACCTTTGTACTGTAAGTACTGACAGTGATGCTGTGATCTTCTCTCCTGAGCGCTCCGCCTATTGTATTTATTTGAATACTTTTTCAGCACAAACATGTCGCTCACAACTTCCTGTGTAAGTGTGCGTCGCAATCTCTATATGTTTCTATGTTATACATCGATATAATGTAATGATGTAGGTACAATCCCCTCTCCCCCCCTCCCTCCTCCCCCCCTCAATCTCTATGTACAAGTTAACTTTATATGAATGTATTATATTTGTAGGAAGTGATGCGTATCATAGTTAACATGTGTCAGTGTGAGGGAGGGACAATGTTACAATGTGATCTCGCGTCATCTCTCCTCACTAGGTTTAGTACAATACTTAGTAGTAGTAAGTAGAACTTTGTCCAAGACAAAGTGTATGTGTTACTACATAGACATGTTATTTGCACAGAACCTTTAACAAATTATTTAGTATTTCTTGCGGATGTTTCTGCGGATGAATTGTGCGAATTATTCGAGCGCGCTTGCTGTTACTGTCTCTTTCTCCTGCAAGAAAGGTTTTTGTGATGGGAATATGAAGATAATTGTCACATCCCTATGTAGTGTAGTTGTTCATGAACATGTTTAATCAAATCGTATACGTTATCTCAAATAAAGGATGTACTCTTGATTCTTGTTTTATTTTGCTGCGACAGGTGAGAGGTGAGAGGTGAGAGGCGAGAGGTGAGTACATACACAAGTAATACAATATTGAGTTGATTGGATGTATACAGACATAGCACCTACGTGTGGCGAATGTTTCAAATTCAACTTTTGCCGTTTCTAAGTTTAAATAAATAAAACAGGTTTAGTAAGTACAATACATTTATTGTATAAATACTATTGTTGTAAAAGTTTACTATTTACATAAACATATAAAGTTCATAAAAATTCCAGTGAACATACACAAACAAATAAATAAAGTAATAGCAGTAGGGGTACAAAATGATTGGCAGTGAAAAGCTGATTGAAATATTAATTAACTGCAGTACAATAAGACCGAGTACAAGTCGCGGTGTGCGTGTGTGCGTGTTGTTTCCTTACCTGAAGTATGTCGTGTCGTGTCGTGTCGTGTCGTGTGATGTCGTGTCGTGTCGTGTGACGTGCACACGACACCACTCGGGAGAACTAACACAAATTGAGCAAAGTGGACGGAACAAGTCGTGCCGCGTTTGTGTTGTACTAACAATTGTAAGGCATATCATTATGAAGAAGCGCCACAATGATATGCGACAGAGCGGAATATTTAAGTAAAATTGTTGTATGTAATATCATTTAGCCGCGTATGTACTCGATGCAGACAGGTCACCGGGGGCGGGGCAGCAGGGCGGGGCCCAGCGCGCCCAGGGCGAGGGCCAGGGCCAGGGCGGGGGCGGCGAGGGGCGGGGGCGCGGCGCCGCGGGCGATGTTGCGCCGGTGCTTGTCCACCACGAAGATGCGGCCGCCCATGTCTGCACAACACACGCGTCACTCAAACGTCTGCAGCGGACACCAGACACCGGTGTATGTGGGGGGAGGGGAGGTGTACCTGCGTGTGTGAAGGAGTGGTAGTACACGATGTCGGGCCAGGAGGAGTCGGGCGCGAGGGCGAGCTGCGCGGGCTCCCCGGGCGCGCAGCTCCAGCGCAGCGAGCGGTTAAACGCGCGGAAGGTCGCGAACTCCCCGTCCAGCCGCGGGTCCGCCTCTGACATCGGCACAAACACACAGAGTAAAGATGACGGCGCCTCGTGTGCGGTACACTCGGCCTCGGCTAGTGAGATGAGGGCGTACCGGGCGGGCGCGCGGCCAGGCAGAGCGGGCCGGCGGGCGCGGGCGCGAGGCGGGCGCGGCGCGTGGGGCGGGCGCCGGCCAGCACGCGCACCGCGCGCTGCGCCGCGTCGTCCAGCCGCTCCAGCCCGCCGTGCGGCTCCGCGGTCACCACCAACGGGTGGTACAGCGCCGCCGAGTGCGGCTCGTTGCCCCCCGACACCTGCGCAAGCCGCACACGTTCACGCGACACTCTCCGAGACGTCGGAGAGGGGCGGGGGGAGGGGAGACCGACCTTGAAGGTGTAGTGCAGGCCGCGGCGCAGCTGCAGGTCGGGCGCCAGCTGACCGTTGACGTACCAGGCGAGGTGGGGGGCGGCGACGCGCGGCTCGCGACCCCACAACCCGCGCGCGCCCCCCGCCGGGCCTAGCGACAGCCGGAACACGCGCAGTGCCGGGTCGAACAGCTCGGCGCGCTCCCACGCCCGCGCGCGCGCTCGTTCGCCGCTGCACAACACACCTTGCTCAGTGCTCAGTCACGCCGCGGGCGTCACACCGCGTGCGTCACGCCGCGTGCGTCACACCGCGTGCGTCACGCCGCGTGCGTCACGCCGCGTGCGTCACGCCGCGTGCATCACGCGAGCGGCGAGCGGCGAGCAGTACATACATGACGAAGTCGAAGCAGTCGTTGTTGGGCGGGGCGGCGGCGAGGCGCAGCGCGAGGTCCGCGCGCGGGTACAGGCGGTGGTAGGCGGGCTCGCCCAGCGCGTCCAGCCGGCCCACCGCCCACACCGCGTACTGCACGCCCTCCGTGCGCCACGCCAGGTCCATCGTCTCGTCTGCCGGCACGTTCGGTTAGTCGAACTCGACAAACTATAATTACACGAGTGAGATGGGAGAGCGGCGGACGTTACCGGGCTGCAGCGAGCGGCGGTAGGTGACGACGGTGAGGCCGTCTTGTCGGCTGGAGCTGAACACCTGGTTGTTGTTGAGTCCGCCGCCGCGCTCGTCCCGACACACGCCCGCCCAGCGACCCAGCACCTGCACACACTGAGCACACACCACGCGGTCACCCCCTGCCGCTCGTGCAGCGGGGCGCGCGGGGGTGCGGGGGTGCGGGGAACACTCACCGGGGCGACGGCCGTCACGTTGTAGTCGGCGACGGTGGCCTGCTGCAGCGCCGAGTTGAAGTACGCCACGGCGACGTCGGCGCCCACCATCTGCGACCGCGTCTCGTTACCGGACACGCCGAACGCCATGTACTCGCCCTCCTCCACCTGCACCGGACACACCGAGGCTTTGTTCAGCGAGCTAGCGGCGCGGGGTACCTGGGCGGGGGCTCCGGGCGGAGGCGCGGACCTGGGCGGCGAGCTCGATGGTGATCTGGTTGCCGAACACCTCCCACGCCACCTGGTAGTCGCGGTGCAGCTGCTTGCAGTGCGGCAGCCGCGTCCTGCACAGAGGTTGGCGAACCTTACGGTCGAGGTTTACGTCGGAGGCGATCCGTCCGAGGAGCGGTGCGGCGACCTATGCGGGTGCGTGCGCAGCTTGGCGGGCGGCACGTTGAGCGCGTCGGGCACCAGCAGTGCTGCCAGCGCGCGCCGCTCGCCCGCGTCCCACAGCGCCAGCCAGTCCACCTCGAACACCGTGCGCCCGCCCGGCAGCTCCAGCGTCACGTCCTCGCCGCGGTACGCGCGCAGCGGCTCCAGGCTGCACACCGCACATCGCACAACGTTACAACACCCGCCTCGCGCCCGCTCGCGCCCTCCTGCGCCACGCCGCGTGCTACACTAGTGCTCACTATCCGTGCTCGTTGGGGACGATGAAGCCCCGCGCGGAGGGTTGCGGCCCCACGCCCGCCCAGAAGTACACCTCCTCGCCGCTGCCGTCGTACCGGAACTCCGGAATTCTGGGACGACATGAAAGTAATCAAAGACCGACATATTCCCGGAGAGCTTGCGTTCGTAACGGTTTGCGGGAGCGGGGAAGGTTCACTCACAGGAAGGTGTTGGCGTCGAGGAAGCGCACGGACTTGCTGGAGACGACGACGGGCGCGGCGGGCGCGGGCACGAGCGGGCCCAGGCTGCGCGGCGCGGGCGGGTCGAACTCGTCCGGCACGTACACGTCGCCGAACGCGTTCTGTGTGCCCACGTCGTACACCGCCAGCCAGCGCAGCCGCGACAGCCGCTTGCCCTCCGCCAGCCGCAGCACCACCTCCGCCCCGTTGTAGCGCTCCAGGATGTTGGTCCTGCCAACAAGCATTCTATGTCTGCACAACTCCACAAACATGCTAACAAGAGCTTGCTCATTTATTACTTTTTCTTTGAACTTTAGTTAAAAAAGTGCAGCCATTACATACTTATATAGAGATAGAGAATTATGATTGTGGTATTATAACATAAATTTCTATATCCCGACTGACATGCTGGGCCATCCCATACAGAAATGATTGAACCTTACATAGCAGAACACAAAAGTGTTGATACTGACTTGCCATGCTCATCAGGTATGATGAAGCCCTGTGGACCAGGCCGTCCGGAGTCCCCGGCCCAGAAGAATGTGTCCTCCCCGGTACCATCATAGTTGAAGTTCACCAGCAGCACCGTCAAGTCATCCACTGCGTACACATCACCTGATACCTGTTATTATATTTCATGGAATTGTTTTGTTTTATTCAAAATATATATTTAATATAACTTAAATCCAATCCTTGCAAAGACAATCAAAATAAATTAGTCAATCAATTAGTAAAACCAAAATGAAAACTTTACAAGTACAAAAAAGTTAAAACTTTAATTAACACACTAAAAATACAACTTTGATAATCATTTGAAGTATAAAAAAAATATTCTATATTCTTTTGTAATTATGTGAGCTAAATAATTATTTACATTGTATGCTGTTAGAAATATATTTGAGAACTGCAGAGGAAAAAAAGACAAGTGGAGAAGTTTGCAAAACAAACTAATGCTTTCATTTAGGTAAACTAAGATTCATTTTTAAGAAAACAACAAATTGTTTCTACCTACTTTAACTTTACCAATAACAATAGAATATTTGTGTGGGGTACAGCGTTCAGGTGTTTTTACCTGCCAGCTTATGATAAAATTTTCTTCGATATAATTAAAAACAAATTATTTAATTTTAAGTGAGTTACCAAAATAAGTGACATAGCCTTCAATTGCCTGGGTAAAAATCTTATAAAAGATTGTTTATAATATGCGTTACACGACGACATTTACCAGAATATTCCATTTCCTGAGTCGGACATATGAAAACAAATGATAATTTGTTAATACATGTATGATTCACCTTTTTATTGTGTAAAATTTAAGTGAAAACATGATAAAATAACTGTTACCTGGTGGTGGTAGGAATTTAACTTTCCTATGAACTTTCCTCGGTAGGGACCTTCATCATCCTGCGAGGCGCAGTCTAGAACAATGCATTTCCAAGTATTATTTATGAAACTCCAACTTGGACGGAGAGAAAGTTTGTTCTTGATAATTATTTTTGAAATATAATAAAAAATTACCTTTTGCTATAAGTATAAGTAACGTGAAGCATAATATAAACATTTTACAATTATCACTTCTTATTTTAACCTTTGCATAATAATTAAAAATTCATAAATGAAGTTTACACATTACTTTGAATGTCGAGTGGCGCAGGCGCACAGTAGTTAACTTCCTGTCTAAACCTTTGCACCACTTGACCTGTCACTACGTTCTTATCGTTCTCATCCGCTTTAACTTAGCCAAGGTCGGTTCTGTGATTGGTCTGATGAACATGTAGCGAACAGTCCACCAATCATATGCAGGAAACTTTCACTTTTAAGTTTTGAAAATTTTAAACGTAGTTGAGAACAAAGACTAAACTTTCGA